CGGGTGCATGGTCACCCAGCTGTTGACACTCATGATGAGTAGACCCCTAGTGGGCATGCAGCCTTTCAGTGGCAGAGACTTCTGGTCTACCACGCACTGCCTCTCGCCATGGCTGTGCTGGTGGGGGCCTCCAAAGGGCTGTTGGGAGGCAAGACTTGGCTTCTCCAAAGGTGCAGGGATCCCTTATCCCAAAACACACTACACAATGTGATAAATGCTCACATTAGAGCGCAAACATTTTTAGAAATAAAATTCAGAAAGATGGTCAGGAAGAGTAGGGGAAAAACTGGAAGTTAATGATGTCCAGTGGAGTTTGTGGGACGGGTTTGGGGAGCACAGGAGGAAGAGGAAATTGAGGGTTCTAGGCAGAGGAAGCGGGGATTGCCAAGGCAGGGAGGAACCTCTAACCGGAGTGTGAGGGTGGAAGACAGAAACACCCAGGCAGAGCCCTGGCTGAAAGGCAGGGATATACCTTAGGTGCTGGAGAAGAATGGAAAGAGTTCGGGCCTGGGTCACATCTATATATTTTTTAATATATTTTATTGATTTTTTACAGAGAGGAAGGGAGAGGGATAAACAGTTAGAAACATCCATGAGAGAGAAACATCGACCAGCTTTCTCCTGCACACCCCCTACCGGGGATGTGCCCGCAACCAATGTACATGCCCTTGACTGGAACCAAAACTAGGACCTTGCAGTCCACAGACCTACACTCTATCCACTAAGCCAAACCGGTTTTGGCCACATCTGTATTTTAGATAGGTTCTTGGATCAGTTTCTGGACAATCCCTCAGTGTTGCAGGTAAGACTGGAGGCGGGTGGAAACCAGAGTCACAGTCCCTTTAAGATACAGCAGTTAAGGAAGGTCAGATTTCCTATCCTGGAAAGAGAGATGGGTGTTCACATTTCTGGCTTAGGCACAAGGTGTGTGGTGATCCCATTAACCAAAGGCAGAGAATAAAGAAAGGAACATCCAGACTGAACATGAGCTGGGAACCTTGGTGTCTGGCTAAGAGTGCATCCTTAGATGCTAGAGAAGAACTGAAAAGTTTTGAGCAGGGGTCCCCGGGGCACATTTGCCTGGATGGGAGGTGCTGACGAGGATGGGTACAGGGCGATGCGGGAGAGTGTTGGGGAATAGATAGTGGCTTTGACCGTGTTGGTTTGGAACATCCACAGAGCATCTGGGTGGGGCTGTCCAGTGCGGGAGCCAGAGTTCAATGGGGGGTCAGAGCTGGATCAATGAATGCGAAGTCATCATCCATTGGCGGAAGTCAGGGGTACTGTGGAGAACGAGGCTGCTTGAACAAAGGACCCAGAGAAGGCAAACACAGCCCCAGGGCTGTTGTAGACAGAATCGAGTCTGTGTGTGGTGGGCCTCAAGGTCTCTGGGGCAGTAGAGGTTGTTGCTAAGGGGAAGAGACCAGCCCGATGTAAATTCTTTTCTCGGCATAAACGTCAGTTCTGCCAATTGCATCACCCATGGGTTGGACTTGACAATCTCTAAAACACTCCTTTCCATGTTTAATATGCTCCCATTCCAGACCTCTTCCCAGCGCTGTAAGCCCAGCAAATGCACTTTGGAGGAAACTCTGGGCTCTAAAAAGGGAGGAGAATCTGCCTGGGATTGAGAATGAAATGTCAATCCCTTATGGGGACACGTGCCAGGCACTTGCGAACCTCAACTTCCCGATAATGAGGGAAGGACATACGGAGTTTGAAGACACCCCATAGAATGACTAAACAACTCACCCAGAAGCATATGTCATGATTTCCACCATAAGTTATGATATAGATGAGTCAAACAGAGAGCAAAATTTAGGATTTTTAAAGGCCCCCTACCCCATCCATGTCAGTGATTTCTGTTTAACTCCGAGGAAGAAAAATGTGCCGATCTCAGTGGTGTTTGATTTCTGAGGACTAGGCTATCAACACACCTGAATAGAAATAAATGCAATGCTTGGCCGGCCTAACTCAGTTGAGGGTCGACTTATGAACCAGGAGGTCATGTTTTGATTCCTGGTCAGAGTACATGCCCAGGGTTACAAGCTCTATTCCCAGTGGGGGGCCTACAGGAGGCAACCTATCAATGATTCTCTCTCCCTTCCTCTTTGAAATCAATAAAAATATATTTTTAAAAATAGCTGCAAAGACCACTCAACAGAAGACTGGGTGGCCAGTACAAAAGGTGGCAGGATCCTAGGTCACCAGAGGCGATATGGTGGCCATCAGAGGACAGGCAGACTGGACAGTGCCTTATAAGGATGGGATGGAAGGGACCTGGGAGCCTGTGGTTTCAGGAGTCTTACCACAGGGGCCATCGAGGAGGGCCGAGCCGAGCTGGTCAGTGACCCAGAGTGAGGACTATGGGGCTCGGAGCCAGAGAATAGGGGTGAGGGGGCTGGTCACAGAGCAGGACATAGGAGACAGGGAATCACAGCAGGGCTAGGGCTGGGAGGGGAAGTGGAGAATCCAGGACAGTGCAGGCAGACAGGACAAGTCCTAGAGGTCAAGGATGAGGCCCGCTGAGCTCTCACCATGGAGTTGCTTCTCTGCATGAATTCTCACAAGCCACTGGGCCCACCTGTCTTGAGGAAGCCTGTGCGCTCCTGTGAACCCGTGTGGCTGACAGGCTCCTTGCTCTGCCTTGGCATTTAACCTCCCCAAGAGCGGCTACTTCTCTGCATCTCGATATAAACTACGTGGCAGACAGGATGTGGATGACGGGCCCATAGCTCCTTCTGTTCTCCATGATTAATTTAAGAGATAGTGGTGCCCTGATTTCACTGCTAATACCGGGCTTGTGAAAATCAAGCATTGACTTGTGATGTTCACTGTCATTTGTTAACACTCAAAGAAGACTCTATAGGGAGGGAACAGTAACACCAGGCCATGATAATGGGGCTGGTAGCTGTCCTTCCGCATTCAAGCTGTGACACGTCACTCAGGTGCTGGCCAGGCAGCTGTGGTGTGCGCAGCACTATGCTCTGGCCGTGGGCAAAGATAGCTGCCTCCTTAGGTTTCTCAGACGTCATTATTGATGCCACGGGGGCTGGGCACCGCACCAGGAAGCTGAGTTCCCGGCAAGGTACAGACTAGCTGGGACAGAATGCCTGGCTGTCCATAAAAGGGTCAGAGAGAGAAAAGGGACAGGATAAAATAACAAGATCCCACTTTTTCACTATCACTTTGGCGGAGTCGGGGAGGGGAGATGTAGTAATGTCATTGGCAAGTGACAGGAATGCAAAGAAACAAACACTTCTATACATTCTCAGACCTGAACTGTGTGGGGACAGTTTCAAAATTCTTAATAGTCATACCTTTTGGCCAACCCATGTCTATCCCTGAGATTTATTATCCCCTAGAAGGCCAAGTGCACCAAGATGTGAACTCAAGGATGCTTCATCACAGCCTCATGTAAAACAGTGAAAAACTATATGCAAATAAACTGGAAGCTGGTTAAGGAAATTGTGGGATAACCCAGTACGGCAAACTCATTAGTCAACAGAGCCAAATATCAACAGTACAATGATTGAAATTTCTTTTGATTGTGAAATTTTTTAAACTTAAACCATGTAGATAGGTGCATTGTTATTAACTTACTTAGGGTACTCCTAAGCTGGCCTTTGCTAAAAACTCAAGAGGCCAAAGAGCCGCATGTGGCTCACTAGCCGCAGATTGCCGACCAGTGAGATAACTCATGACAGATGCTTCACAGTCATCCAAGCAATGCTGATGCATTCTAACAGTATTGCCATAGAAAGATGGAGGATGAGGTATTAAGTGAAAAGGCAACTTACAACACTGTGTACAGAATACTCATATTTATATTTATAGAGATGGGATCACGTTGCCCTGTCTGTACATATTCACGGGTATTGAAATGAAAACAGAAATGTGTTCACCAAATTATAATAACAGTTTCCTCTGCAGGTGGTATTATGAGATGACTATAATTTATCATTTTTTCAATATCTTCTGCGTTTTTAAATAATGGGCATGCATTCGTTTCATAATCAGAAAAAGAAAAATGCTTCAAAAAAGTAAAATAATATTGGCCAATATTTCAGCTACGATCCCTGTCAGGAACCCCAGGAAATGAAAGAAGCACGGAGACAGTGAAGGGAACTGTTGAGTAGAGATGACCATCATTCTTAATCTCGCCTCTGCGCCTTCTTCATTGGGACAGGCTCCATTTCTGCACGCATCCTTGGCCCTCACACTCGGTGGGCTGCCACCTCTATCCCAGTTGAAACAAAATGTTTTTAGCCCAAAATATATAAGATTATAAACCCATCAAAAGTGACAGCTTTTGCCCTAGCTGATTTGGCTCAGTGGATAGAGCGTCAGCCTGCAGACTGAGGGGTCCTGAGTTCGATTCCGATCAAGGGCACATGCCTGGATTGTGGGCTTGATCTACATTGGAGGAGGTGCAAGAGGCAGCCAATCAATAATTCTCTCTCATCATTGATGTTTCTATTTCTCTCTTTGTCTCTGAAATCAATAAAGATATATTTTTTTAAAGTGATGACTTATAAAAAAGATTTCAGGAAGTCAAAAAGCTAAGACAAAGAAAAATGTATAAAATCTATTTAGCTCTTAGGGAAAAAAGAAACCAAATGACTACAAAAATACCAGCTCCAAAAATACCAAAAAAGCTTCCACAGGAGAAAATAGAGAGCAAAGGACTGGCATATGGATGCCAGAACTCCAGTGTCAGAGAGGTTCCGGAAGCTGGCCGCACGTAACCAATTATATTTACCCAAAATCACTGCGGCAGACAGGGCACGTTCTTTAATGTCCCCCAAATCTCTTCTCGGTGGCTAACTGATCGTATAACTGTAGTGTGGGATTTTTTCCATTCCTTTTATCACTGTGAGCACATTTTAACCATGTGGCTATGAAATGAGCAGACAGTATAGGAAAAGAATAGAGAGAGACAGAGCTTAACAGACCCATTGTGTTCATGTGTATCTGAGACTGTTTCTTCTTCCCTTTAGGAAAAGCACAAAGAAGCACCGCAGCCATGGCCAAGCTGACAGAATCCATGAGTGAGTAACTTGGAATTTATTCTTGATTTCTGGTTTTGCATGGGAAACCGCAAACTTTCACACCAACCACATCCCCTTGTGGCGACCTGACTTGGCCTTTCACTGTTGCAATAGCCAAGGTCTGTTGGACACGCATCGCCTCATGTCGATGGTACATGGTGCATTATGCAGAAACCCATCTTGCGTGGGGTCAGGTTCTGCGCTAAAGTGGTTACTGTATGAATCAAAATGGATTTTATTTGCACCACTGCATTGGGGCTCAAGACCCAGAGTTATTTAAACCTGACCTTTGGCAGGGTTAGATCAGGTCAGCTGAAGGTTTACGGGCAGATGTTGCGTAGGCTGGAGAATGGAAAGAGGGGAAAGGATGGTTTATTTATGATCACATAACCTCTCAGGTGGTGCTTCAGAACTTCAAACAGAACTATTAAAAATGGAGTGCTTGAGGTGTAAGCAGCTTGCAATGATTTAGCTTTGGTGTGGATCAGTGCTAGGATTCTCTAAGCTCTTGAGCTAAATAAATGCAATACATATTTTTAAGAAGAAAGAAGAATTAATTAAAATAAATCCTCCCACAACATGAGAAATGCAATTCTATATGTTGAAGTTTAACTATTAAAGACCATGTGATGCCCTAAGCAGTTTGGCTCTGGGGATGCAGTGTCTGCCTATGGATTGAAGGGTCACGGGTTCGATTCCAGTCAAGGGCATGTACCTTGGTTGCAGGCTCATTCCCTGGCCCAAGTCAGGGTGGGTGTGGAAGGCAACCAATATATGTGTCTCTCTCTCATGGATGTCTGTCTCTCGCTTTCTATCTCTCCCTCTCCCTTCCACTCTCACTAAAAATCAATGGAAAAAAATATCTTTGGGTGAGGATTAATTACAAAAAAAAAAAAAAAAAAAAAAAAAGACCATGTGGCTATGAAATAAGCAGACAGTGCAAACTATTTTTTTGTTTGGAAATAAACACTGTCCCTGGTGCTACATTTCATCTCTAAAGTTCCAAGAGAAGCTTGCAAACACTTCTCCATTATCATTAGGGCCATGAACACTTTATTCAATTTGTCTGCAGAAGTCACTGTTAATCTTGCCACATTTAACTGGGCACCTGCTTCCTCTTCAGCCACTCCTCAACTCATGGAACTATTAAAACACAAGTGTCCTTCTGTAGCTGGTCAATGAGGCCTTATCCCAAAGGTCCGCCCCGCACCTAGAAAAGATACTGTTACAACGTCCTTCACGCTGCATGTCTTTCATTCCTCACCAAAACCCCTGGCCAGTTTCCTGGGTCTTGAACACACACTAATCCCACCATTTACACAGTGACTGGAAGGGCCTGGTGAAGACCAACTGCCCTCAGTATTTACCGCCTCTCTCCCACCCTCTCTTCTGTACCACCCCCTCCCACTCTGCTCCACCCTTCTCTCTACTGGAAACACGGGCAAAGGATTTGCCACGAGGTTTAAAGACCCCCAGATTGGTTCTCTGCAGGGGAACCAATCTTAAAGCTCTTCTCCTGCCTGAGTGAAATGCATAGAGGTTACCTGTACCGCTAAAAAGCTGATGAACCTGTGACATTAAACTATGGAGTGGGACCACGGACAGCACCACCTAATTCACAGTGTCAGCACTTCAGCAGACTCAGTTCTAATCTCCAAGTCCAAGGACCAGCACAAAAGACCCACAGAGCCTCTGAATGTGAGAAAGATGGCTAGCTTGGAGCCCGGCGTCGCTGTCAGCACAGGGAGTTTGAGTGTGTAAGGGGATCAAGCTAGTACAGCACAGGAGTTGTGATGCTGGGTTCACAATGAAGCTTCTGTTAGAAACGCAGTAAATGTTACCTCTAGCCCACCTAACTGCACTGTGAAACACTGAAGGCTCTCTAAGGGATCGACTGGGATCTTCAATGACAGTACATTGATTTTTATATCTCTGTTGGATCCAAATGCATTTAAATGAGAGCCCCTCATCGGTCTCCTAGTTGGTTGGTTTTAGGTCTCAGGTTTGCCTCTGCAATGACTGTAATGACTGCTCTATAAATCCATTGGCTTAGGGAATTCTGTCAAAACTGAATTCCAAACCCTTGGGTAGATGAAAGGATACAGTTGTTCTTCTAAGTTGCTTTGTCTTTATGAAGAAGATCACACAGCCCTGGCCTGTTTGACTCAGTGGTTAGCGTGTTGGCCCACACGCAGACTGAAGGGTCATAGGTTTGATTTAAGTCAAAGGTATGCATCTCGGTTGTAGGCTTGATCACCAACACTGGTCGGAGTGCGTGTGCGAGGCAACCAATTGATGTATCTCTTTCACATCAATGATGTTTCTCTCTCTGTCTCTCACCCTCCCTTCCAGGCTCTCTAAAAATCAATGAAAACATATCCTTACGTAAGGATTAACAAACAAACAAAAAAGAAAAAGAAAAATCACACAGATGTGTTCCATACACAAGGAAATTCAAAATTTGAGAACAGACTTTGGAATTCTACCCAACATTCCAGATCACCAATCCTTACAAAGATAGAGAACATTATAAAATCCATACGACATGCTCTAACTCTTTTAGGCTCTCGCTATAAGAGTTCATCAGGCAGTCAGTACTGATAAATATTTCATCAAAGTTAAATTCATGAGTAATGTTATATACAACTCCACATTTATTCAACATAAGAAATAAATACATAGTTATGTAGGGAAAACCTGCCAGTAGACCAATCAAAGGATTAACACACAATTGCTACACACTAAACCTGATGGGAACGTAAAACCCAAGGCCACCAGAGGAAAGGGACATAAACAGAACCACAAACACCCAAGACACGGTGCCCAGAATGGCTTTCTAGAGCCAGGAAACACTCTGCTTGCTCAACTGCAGAGCAGAAGCCATCTGGTTCCTAGAACATCTCCATGTTTAACTGGAACTGTGGGGGGAGCCTGCGTCCTCCATCACCATGGGGACGGACTGCTGTGGGTGCCTGGGCAAGGCCGGGAATGGGGTGGGTGACCTCTTTGCCTTCTAGAACAGTAACGGGAAACGTTCCTTTCTCTCATGTGCCATTAATCAACTGTCATTTTTTTTAAAAGGCAAACAAGCTCAGTTCGCATGGCTCAGTGGTTGAGCATCAACCTATGAACCAGAAGGTCATGATTTGATTCCCGGTCAGGGCACATGCCTGGGTTGCGGGCTCAATCCCCAGGATAGGGCACACAGTAGACAGCCAATCAATGATTCTCTCTCATCATTGATGTTTCTCTCTCTCTCTCTCTCTCTCTCTCTCTCTCTCTCTCTCTCTCTCTCTCTCTCTCTTCTTTCCTCTCTGAAATCAATAAAAGTGCCCTTTTTAAAAATTAAAGGGCAAACAAGAGACAAAAATATTAACAAGCTTTTAAATGTTTCATTGGAATCAAGTTTAATAAATACAGGGTAATACTTCAAAATATTTTTATGTTACACCGTTGGCATGAAGAGGGGACCTGATAAGGAAGAAAAAAACAGGAAAAAGGAAAAACAGATGTGGAGGGAGAAATAGATACAGCAAAATTACACATGACAAAAACACACAGAAAAAAACATATATGTGCAAAGAACCCAGAGAGGAGCTGTAGAAGAGGAAAGAGGCAACTCATAGGAGCCCAGAGAAGCGGGGTGACAGGGAAGGAGGCGGGAGGGGTGTGACTGGGATGCCCAGCAGGACCTCAGGGAGCCGCTACTCACTCGCTTTCGCTGTGGCCTTCCAACCTTCCAAAGGCCACCGATGTCTCACCACTGCCCTTTGACCTTTTAACCTCTGTTTGCATCTTGGAAATGGATATTTTCACATGTAGACTTGCTCCAAATAGTGCAGTCGCCCTGCCTCTATTGTCAGACAGGAACTATGCCAAGGACACCAGTCCTCCCTGTGGTCATCAGCGGTGACATGGAGCGGGCAGGTCTGTCCCGGGCGCTGAGAGCTAAGTCAGGTGGTGACGATCAGAGGTGTCCAGAGGCGTGCAAACAGCCTGGAATCATGTCTGCGGGGAACCTTGGTAGGCGGTTCATACATAAACTTCAGTAATAATTCGCTGCGGGGTCATAATCATCTGATGTATCTCCCCACACCCCGAGCCCGGGGAACATGTTGGCTCCAGAAAGGAGGTCTCCCCGCGTGGGCGCACTAACAATGTGGGTTATAAAGTCCCGCCATGTGCTCCAGCACGGGTTCCGGGAGCCCAGCCTGGAGGCAGGTTCTCTCGCTCTCCCACCACCCGGTGTCCCATCCCTCTGTCGCCCGTCCACTCACACTCACACCACTCACCAGACTGGCTCCGTCCTCTCTACTCTGCATGTTCCTTCCTGGGGTCCCGTGCTCAGGATGCGGGCAGGGAGGCACCAGAGCGGGTGCCCAGAGGGACCACCTTGCCGGAGCCCAGGATGCAGAGCTATGCAGACGACTGTATTTGACCTTGGTCCCCACACAGTCTATGGTTTCAGACCCACCAGGAGGCAGACAGGCACCCTCTGACCCAAAGCAGGAGAGGGCAGCAGGGCTCCCGGCTGAGCGCCTCTGAGAAGCAGGCACCGGACTTTCTTCCCAGTGAGACACGTGCTGTCCTTCCTGGAAGACAGCTTTCAGGTTCGAGGATCTTGCTCCCGGTTGAGAGTATGAGTATGTTTGATTGGCATCGGAGATCCCAGCTCTGAGGTCAGAGGGCCTGAAATGGACTATAATTCTTGTGCAATTGAATGGCCTGAGCCACGTCTCCATGGAAGCGAACATCCTCTCTTCTCCCCCTCCATGTCCCTCCAGGTGCTTCTGTCCCCGCTCCCTTCTCCCTCCCCCCCCCCCCCCCCCCCCCCCCCGCTGTCCCCTCCCTCACTGTCGAGGTCCCTCCTCTATGGCCAGCTCCATATGGAACCACAGCCGGTGCCACTTGCCTTTGCTCCGGCCCAAAGCAAAGAGGGAGACAAACACATTTAAACCTCTCTTGCCTCCCACTTCCTCCATGTGCCTTCCCTGCCTCCC